GACACCATACCCTGTTACACAAAAATCGAGAAGAACAAAGAGATACTAATAGTTATGTCTATATTAATGCTTAGCCTTGTATGGAGGAAGGCGTTAAGTGTCTGTATAGATGAAGAATGGGGAGAAGATTATTTAGACTTGCGCCCTTCTAGATAGCAGATCGAGCTGATAAGTTAGGCCTCGAGGAAAGACCAGAAATGGTATCTTTAAAGAATCTAAGTAATGAATAGTTGTTGGTATCCAAAGAGGTTGATGTGGAGTTGCATTCGATAGATTTTTCTCCATCTGTTAAGGTACAGAAAGTGCTGACAGTCAAAAAACTACCAGCAGTTTACAGGAATGTGACAACGACGCACCAAATGGCATTCTAGTCATATTTAAAAGACATAAGTTTTATGAGAGTAGCAGATGAGAATGTCAGACTGTTTATTGGGTATAATGCACCGGGCGTATACGAGATGAATGAGATAAGAACCGGAAAGACGAATGAACCGTCTGCTGCGAGGAATATATTGAGTTGGACGCTGTTTGGCCCTTACGAGGAACCCCATGAAAGCAACCGCGTACTTAATTACCTCTTGACTAAGGAGGCTTTGAAGGATAAGTTTGAACACTTGTACTCAACTGGATTCAAAGACCCACTTAGTCGTACTTCATCGATGTCTGTGGAAGATTGTATAACATTCAGCGCTATATCAGATTCAGTGCAAAAGTTAAGTGGGCACTATCAAATAGCTCTGTTTTGGAGGCAAGAACACAAGTTACCTAGTGATAAGAAATTAGCAGAACGTAGACTTAGCTGTTTGAAAGGTCGACTTATTCGGGATACGAAGTTGTTCCAAGACCATATGAACGCAATGACTCGGTATATAGAATGAGATTACGCCGAAAAGGTAAACGATAACTACTCTAATGGACAAATCTGATATCTTCCTCATCATACTGTCTTCCATCCCAAGAAGCCTAAAAAGTTAAGAATAGTGTTCAATTGTGCAGCTCAGTGTGCTTGGACTTTTTTAAACAAGACTCTTTATTCTAGTCCTGATTTAGTCAATAACCTAGTAGACGTTTTCACCAGGTTTCGACAAAGAACAATAGGTCTTACAGCAAATATTGAAGCCATGTTCCATCAAGTAATAGTTCAGGTGCATAATCGAGATGTTCTTGGGTATTTGTGGTGACCAGGTGGGGACTTAGAAAAAGAGGCGGAGGTATATAGAAGGAAAGTCCATCTGTTTAGAGCAACCTCATCGCCATGCTGCTCCACGTTTGCTTTGCAGAAAACGATTTCTGATAATCAAGATAAATTTCCCAGGGTTGTTACGTAAGCAGCTAAGGAGCAGTTCTATGTGGATGCTATAGAAGAAGCCAAACTGACATATTCATATTTTAAAAGACTCTTAAGTTTGGGAGGATTTAACCTAACTAAGTGGACTAGTAATAGTAAAGTGTTGGAGTTCATTCCAGAGGAAGACCGTATCAAAGGAAATATTACCGTCTGCGAGTCCAATGAGACGAGTAAACGATCGCTGGGTATAGAGTGGAACTTACAAACAGATTAATTATGTTTCAAAGTTCATGAGTTTCGTGGAAACCTAACGTAGCATCTATTTTTGATTCAATTGGGTTTGTAGCCCGAATAATACTACCAGACAAAGTGATCTTACAAGATACCTGTCGGCAGAAACTATACTGGGATGCAGAGTTACCAACGATTTGTCAAGTAAAGTGGAATATTTTGTGTAGGCATGTAAAAACGTTGGGCTAATTAAGAATACCAAAGTGTCTGAAGCCAAGATTTGAACCATCATCCGTTCAAATTCATTGTTTTGCCGATGTTTCTGGGCTTGCGTATGGTGCTGTTAAGTATATTCGTTATGAAAGTGTTTCTGGTCAGGTTCATTGCTCATTTCTGCTAGCTAAGTCTAGAGTTGCTCCACTAAGACCTGTCATTATGACCAGAATGAAATTAACAGCTGTTGTACTACGTGCTAATATTGGAAAACATGTGGAACAACAACTGCGTATCCCTATCTCCTCTGTCACTTATTGGACGGATTGATTAATCGTACTCCATTGCGTAAGAAATATAACTAAAAGATTTGAGAGATTCGCGAGCAATAGGTTAGGAACGATTCACCAACTGTTAAGTGGGCCAATAGAGATACGTTAAAAGAAAACAGAATCATGCGGATTTTGCTTCACGTGATTTATCGTTAGATGACAGCATCAAACTAAATAAGGGGTTCCACGAACCGAACTTTTTATGGCAAAACGAAAGTGGCTTGCCAAATTTACTCAAAGAGGAGAACCATGTTTTAGCCCATTTGTTTACAGAAGAATTAGGCGAGACATTAGCGAGGAGTCATGAATCGATTTATTAATTGTAAGACCTGGTTTAAAATGCTGAGAATATTTGCTCTATGTAGACGGTTCGCCCTCAATATGAGGATGAATTTAGACAGAAGACCGTTAATTCATGCTTCGATAGTGCGAAGAAGGATGTAACTAAATTGGTTCAAATGATCTCATTCCCAGAGAGATGGAAACACTAAGGCAAACACGGCATAAAGGCGAGAACGGCAATACATATGAATCTCGAGAAACACCGAAGAGAGTAGGCGGATCTGTTTCAAATAAGGAAATGACACTCCATCTAATGTTTGCTGGTAAGAAAATGAGAAGTACCATTGCATGTAGGAGCCCGATAAAAATTTTAATCCCTTCGTTATAGGCAACGTCATTCGAGAAGGGGAGCGACTTCAATTATCGTGCTTGCCCTTTGAAAACACGCATCCTCTTATACGTCCTAGTAAACATTTTGTCACTGACTTGATCGTAATGGACTTTCATCTCCAGAACGCGCATTCTGGTATTACTCACACCTTGAACAGTCTTCGCGAACAGTCCTGGATCATTAAGGCTCAAGATGCTATCCGAAGAGTTCCGAAACGATGCTTCCTATGCAAAAGACTCAACAGTACACCGTGAACGCAGATTATGGCTCCACTACCCGAATGTCGCCCAGAAGCTTACGTACTACCATTCAATTCGGTTGGTATAGACTATTTTGGACCACTTTACGTTAAGAGGAGGCGAATCGTAGAAAAACGATACGGTTGTTTGTTCACTTCCCTGTCTATTAGAGTAGTTCACATGGAAACTGCCCGCACCTTGGATACTGACTCATTTTTATGCACTCTCTCAAGATTCGTTGCAAGGCGGGGTCACTCCAAACATGTGTTTAGCGACAACGGTTCAAACTTCAGAGGGGCCCGACGCCAGTCTTAGACAGATCGTCTGTAGTTGGGATCGAAATAAGATAGCAAATGCCCTTTTGGAAAGAGGCTGTGAATGGCACTTTAACCCTCTGAAAGATCGTCATCGAGGCGGTATGTGGGAATGCATCATAAAGTCAATAGGAAGAATTCTATGATCACTACTGTTTCAGAAGGTATTGACGAATGAGTCCTTGAAGACGTCTTTAATAGAAGCTGAAGGAATACTGAACAATCGACCACTCGTCAAGCTAGTTAATGACTGTGATAATCTGGATGTACTTACACCAAACAAGTTATTGTTAGCTTACAGAGGCGTATCATTCGATGAAGCGCAGGTGAGTAAAACGTGCTTATATAACAGGAGATGGAAGGAAGCGCAACAACTAGCCAACCTATTCTGGAACAGATAGTTACGGGATTACCGACTAACCCTTCAGACGAGATCAAAGTTGTTGGACATGAGAAGGAACCTATAATCGAGTGACTTAGTGCCAGTTAACAATATTGGCTCACCGAGAAATCTGTAGCCAAAAGCTATGGTTAGGTAGGTCAATTATGGTCCAGATGGACGAGTCAGAACAGTTTAATTGAAGACAGCAACAGAAGACACCAGCCGGGATATACAGAACCTGTGCCTACTGGAAGAGGCCGCTTATTTGAGCGCGACGGTAACGAAACTTGGACTTGGTGTCCGCTTGGGGGGTGGGAAGGTTAGTTATGTCCATAACTAACCAATCAGGTCGTTGTTCAAGCGCCCACCACGTTGATCGAGTCTGTTGTGTCTGTAAACTATCGCTGTTGCATGTGATCTACCAAATGAAAGACATTGTTATTCTATTATATTAATGTGACTCATAATTTTATTCATTTCGATAAGACACGCAACATTGGTCGGCATGCTTGTGCGTTTCATTTAATAACTGTAATTTCCTTAATTATTAAACTAATCGAATTGTTTTTACGTTCAGAAACAGAGAAAGTTTAAAGCCACGTTGTCCTTGATCTGACTATAGCTTTCACATAGACTCTGTGCTCGCCAGTATCGCGTTTACGGTTCTAGTAGTATATCTGTAGGACAAATTAAATCCTGCAGAGCGACTTTGAATTTTTTAAAATTTTTGTCTGACTGTTGTTTAAATACGATGAGAACAGTTAATTATATATATGTATAAAGCTAAATGGATAATAAAGAAATGCTTTCTAGGTAATATATATACTTGAAGCCTATTTATTAAATCGAGAGAATTTCGGAAATATTCACAAGTTGAGTTTCCCTTGAAAATAGTTGATGCAAGTTGGAGACTGTTGTTTTATCTAAGTCTATGCTTTTCCAGCATTCAGGACGCCTAGAACATTTTAAAAACACTGAATCAAAATACAGTGGTTGACATTTTCAAATTCACACCCTGATCGGTGATCATCTACTCGACTTTTCATTTAACTGCCTTCATTATCGATTAATTCCACATTATCCATCTAAAAATAAATCGTTAGTGTCCATTGGTTTAATGATCAATAAACTTCACTAAATGGATTAATCGTAATTGATTTACACTGTCGAATAATCAAATGCTAATAATGAAACTAGTGCCCCTCCCCTGTTTCTTGGTCTTAAATGAACTTTTCTCAGTTTATGTCATTCTGTACATGAAAGTATCATCAAACAAAACTAACCCATGATGTTTCTTATCATCCACATAAATAGTAAATAGGACTTACCTGAATAAGAACTTTTCATTTGTTTATCACAAATTGTTGTGAAATAAACAGAGACTGGATCACTTTCCCTCTCCATACCGTTATGTGAAACAAGCAAAGTTTGTACATGTACAATATAAAGTGTGTTGGGTTTCAGTTGGTTTAATATAATCCATGTTTGATCCTAAGTGGGAAAATGAAATTAACATTCTAGAAATTCCCTTGTACAACAGGTAAAAATAATTGTCCCTAATTCTAAAGAATAAATATTATGATTTCAGTATTCTGTACAATTGATACACTACAAGCAACTTCATCGTTCACTTGAATGAACATACAAAGATCCCTATTTCAATATATCTCTAGTCCCATTCCGTATAATCACGTCCTCAACAGTTGTCAATAGAACATTTTGGTTTATGTTGGATTCCCCCAGCCTATATTATCTACATTTTTTAAAGAACTTACTATTTCACATAAGAAAATATATGCCGACTAATGCAATGATCATTTATTGTAGCATAGGTGTATATGGAAACAATGAGTTCAGATGACTTTTAATGATATTTACTAAGTTCACTTGATATTGTTTTACTTGAATCTTCCCATTGATGTTTAGGACTGCAATTGATCAGTCTATCATATTGGCATATGTGCATACTGCTAGAATGTTTCTCTCGCAGTAATATTAAGTGGTCTATAACATTTGTACGATTCATTGTAACTCATTTCCAGTAAATATTTGTGTTATTATTTTTATCACTATGTTACTACTCAGTTTGATTAGCGTTACGTCGGGAAATAGAAACAGATATGAAAAGTATGAATAAGAACTGGAAAGAGCTGGAAAGGATTGCCCAGGACAGGGTTGGATGGAGAATGCTGGTGATCGGCCTGTGCTCCTTCGCGAGGAATGACAGGCGTAAGTAAGTAAGTAAGTACTACTGAGTCGGGTATTATGCTAGGATTAAAAGTTATCAGTCCCATATTACAGCTAAACTACACATGTTTCTACGATTAGACCGTTGTCGGCCATTCGTTCGAAATCAGGTTTGCAATAATGTACCATTTCAACTTGATACTTGATCAAGCATAATTTGTTCTAATCTACTGGTTCCAATGTTGTAGCTCAACTGAGATCGAATAGTTTATTATATAAACATCATTGATAATAACAGGATAAACATTAGTGAAAAAAACAAACGTATGTCAATTACCTTATCTATTACTCTGACATCAATCTGTTGTAAATCCATTATCGGACTGAAACCGATTTCATCATTATACATTGATTCATCCACTGGTTCATGAATTCTTGGTGCCCACATTATTCGATATTTAGTTGAATTTCGCTTTAATTTATTGACAGTTGCACAACGACTTGAGTATTTGTCCACATCTCGTGTTATTTTATCCAGAGTTGTCGTCGGTTGTACCCATGATATTCGATAATTTAAATTATTTATGTGAATTACTTGAAGTTTTGTTGGTGAGGTGACTGGTTGTAGTGCTGAAAAACAAGGGTTTCAGTAAAATGGTAATAGCAAAATATTAGAATCAACTGTTTTATAATTTAATCGGCATAGTTAAACTAATCACAAAAGCATATCTTAACATAAACTAAACTCAGCTTGTTCAATTCCAAGGTATTTATGATCACAAAATGATATCATTTAAAGGATCATGATAAACGAGGAAGCGTTATGGAGCTATATTGTACTATATCCGAACCAGTACTCACAGGTGCGAACATGCTATTGTAGCAAGCCCATTCCATTAATGTATTATTTGTCTACACAACTGTGTTAATTTCCATATGAGTATGATTGAGCGTGTGTCTGCACTTCTATCCCTATTCTATTCCCCATTGGTTGTGACACATAGATAATCAATAATTTATCTACACTTGATTGATACTCAAAAATATATATGGATCTTTTAACACAGACACACCAGACTTTGATTTTTGTCTCACTCGGTGCTTGCTTGCTGTATGCTTGCGGACTTTACCAGGCTTTCACAATAAACTATCTCTATAACTGATTTTTGGGCTTTTTAATGATCTCGAGTAAAATCGATAATTCTACTAGGAGATTAAGCCTGTATTAAATACTCGGTTAATGAGATATCTTTATTTGGAGTCGAATATAGAGGAAATTTATCTCAACAAACTTGGTTAACCTCTACAAACTGGTGAGCCGCATTTAGAACACGCGCCTGTTTCTCTACAAAATCTGCTGCATATTCTCCAATCATAAAGAACTTCATATTGGAATTACTATTGCAATTATTAACAATACATTGACAGTCAGTTAATTCATCTATAACATTGTTGCTTTGGAATTATTACTTTATATTTGCCTATTTAAACTCAAAGTGACCTTTGTTTTCGGTGAGTCTCATATATATTTCTTGTTGTTATTTTCGACTTATTCATATCATATATTTCAATCCTCAGCTTATTATTATTGCTATTGTTATTATTTCTTCGTATCATGTCACTTGATAATTCACCAAGCCTTTCATCTAAGTCTATTTCCGTGGGTGCCATCTCTGTACCTTTACCTGTCTTTAATCCCCGAAAGGCCGAACTGTGGTTTGCACGCTTAGAAAGCTTTTTTGTTGCAAACAGAATCACAAATCAGAACACAAAATTTAGTTATGCAAACTCATTGCTGCCAGACGATGTTATAGAACAAGTGTCTGACGTCATTTTTAAACCGGATCCAGACTCACCATACGATTGTCTAAAAAGAGAGGTCATTCGTGTTACATCTCTCACCGACCAGCAAACAATTGATCAACTTTTAGCTAATGTAGAGCTAGGTGACAGTACACCATCTCAATTAAAACGCCACATGACAAATTTATTGGGGAATCGTACAGTAGATAAACGTCTATTCTATCAATTGTGGCTCAGACGTCTACCACAAAACATCCAACAGATACTAGCAATCGGAGACGAGGATATCAATTTTGATAGGCTAGCAGATATAGCCGATAGAATTTACGAGCGAACTAGGACGCACTCCGTATCTCACATACAATCAAACTCATCTGACGAGATCGCCGAGTTGCGACGAACAGTCGAAGTCCTCGCTAATCAGATAGCTCAGCTCCAATTTTTGAATACCTCCCACAGCAAGCGGAAAGGAAGGTCTAGAAGCCGTAAAAGTCATAGTCCAAGCACCACTCGACATAACATTTGTTGGTACCATAAAACGTACGGTAAGCAAGCTAAAAAATGTACTCCTCCCTGTAATTTCGCAAGCACACAACAAAGAGACCATCATGAACGTCGGTTAATGACGACTGCAGTCGCTGAACACAACTCTCAAAGCAGTCGCTTGTTATATGTTACAGACAAAAGGACTGGAACACAGTTCTTAGTCGACACTGGGGCAGAGGTTAGTGTAGTACCACCCACTACACTTGAGAAAAACACACCTGACCCCAAACTAAAACTACAAGCCGCAAACAGATCTGAGATCAAGACGTACGGCAAAAGGCAGTTACAATTAAATTTCGGTCCTAAATCCAAGTTTTCATGGAACTTCATCATAGCTGACGTCCTCATTCCTATAATCGGCATTGATTTTTTACAATCCCATAAAATACTCGTAGATGTAAGAAGTCGGAAACTTGTCCTTGCTGACCATAGCAGCGAAATTAGAGGGATTATTTCTAACGAGACATCCATACATTTATTGATCAAACCTCATCGTGAGAATGACAAGTACGTTAGTTTACTTAATCAGTTTCCAGACTTATTACGACCGAATTTCAAACGGGACAAACTGACACATACCGTCGTACATCATATAAAGACAGAGGGTCCACCAGTGTTCGCACGTCCAAGACGCCTTGACCCCTCTCGTTTGGCTCTAGCAAAGAACGAATTCAACAAAATGATAGAGTTGGGTATCATACGCCCCTCCGATAGTCCGTGGGCATCACCGCTCCATTTGGTACCCAAGAAAAACTCTTCCGAAGTTAGACCTTGCGGTGACTATAGAGCTCTCAACAGCCGTACTATACCAGACAGATATCCACTTCCACATTTGCATGACTTCACTCATAGTCTATCTGATGTGACGATTTTTTCAAAAGTTGATCTCGTCCGCGCTTACCATCACATTCCAATTCACCCGGACGACGTTCCCAAAACAGCCATTACTACCCCATTTGGATTATACGAATTTGTTCGCATGCCTTTCGGATTAAGGAATGCTGCACAAAGTTTCCAGCGTTTTATTGACCAAGTAGTACGTGGCTTACCTTTCGTATATGCTTACATAGATGACCTTCTTATCGCAAGCAAAAATGAAAATGAACATCTAATTCATCTGAAAATGCTTTTTGAGAAGCTAAACGAGTATGGGTTAACAGTCAACCCTGACAAATGTGAGTTCGGAAAACAATCCCTTACCTTTTTAGGTCACGTAATTGATAGTCAAGGCATCAAACCAGTTCCTGAGGAAACACAAGCCATCAAAAATTATCCTTTACCTGATTCATTCAAGAAACTACGACGTTTCCTTGGGATGATCAACTTTTACAGACGTTTTATTCCGAAATGTGCAGACATAGCAAAACCGCTAACTGATTTATTAAGGGGACGAGCTAAATCATTGACAATGACACCGCAAGCAATTCAAGCATTTGAACAGTTAAAAAGCACATTAAGCACTGAGGCATTACTAGTACGTCGAAAGGTTGATGCACCTTTAGCAGTAATGACCGATGCCTCTAATGTAGCAGTAGGCGCTGTGCTTCAACAACATGTCGATCAACAATGGCAACCCCTTGCATTTTTCTCAAAAAAGCTAAACGCAACGCAAACAAAATATAGCACATTCGGTAGAGAACTGTTAGCTGTCTACCTAGCCATCAAACACTTTCGGTATATGTTAGAAGGCAATTCTTTTACGATATATACGGATCATAAACCTCTAACTAAGTCCTTGATGCACAATCATGATAAATACAGTCCGCGCGAAATTCGTCAACTAGAATTCATTTCGCAATTTGCAGCTGATATACGATACATAAAAGGCAATGCAAATGAGGCAGCAGATGCACTGTCGAGATTAAGTATCAATACCTTCTCGATCCCTGATATAAACTATCAAGACATAGCAAATATTCAAAGGCTCACTGCTGTTAGCATCAACAGAGTAAAACCACCGTTTTTAAAGTATACTGAAAAAAACACAACCATAAAACGGTCTAAACCTGCATCAGAGCAAGCACCATACAGACTAACCGCAACAAACATTACTTCACTCCGAAGTACGCCAACAACAGAAACCACAACAAGATCAGGAAGAAGAGTACACTGGCCAGATAGGTATGTAGCAACCACCATATTTATCTAGACCAAGTCCTGAGATTGCTCTTATACCACAAAAATCCTTCTTTATTTTCATTACTATTTTTTATTGGCGCCACGGATCTTCATTATGCTTACATTTTAACTTTATGAAATTCGTTGATGTTAAATATACTTTTATACATACATGATACAAAGCGTTTCAACACACAAGGTGTTATGACAACTTAACGCTTACTCATCATCATATCAAATTGTACATTTACTTTAAAGACAATTTCGTTTTTTATCTCTTTGTCGAACATAGATGTTAATAAAATTTTTTTTTGTAAATAAAAACATCAATGTTCTGGATGGGAGCTTATGTAGCAAGCCCATTCCATTAATGTATTATTTGTCTACACAACTGTGTTAATTTCCATATGAGTATGATTGAGCGTGTGTCTGCACTTCTATCCCTATTCTATTCCCCATTGGTTGTGACACATAGATAATCAATAATTTATCTACACTTGATTGATACTCAAAAATATATATGGATCTTTTAACACAGACACACCAGACTTTGATTTTTGTCTCACTCGGTGCTTGCTTGCTGTATGCTTGCGGACTTTACCAGGCTTTCACAATAAACTATCTCTATAACTGATTTTTGGGCTTTTTAATGATCTCGAGTAAAATCGATAATTCTACTAGGAGATTAAGCCTGTATTAAATACTCGGTTAATGAGATATCTTTATTTGGAGTCGAATATAGAGGAAATTTATCTCAACAAACTTGGTTAACCTCTACACTATATCACAAAGGTTTAACCCAGGAGCTTAAGCTGTTGCAGTGAGTTTTGGTTGCAATGAAATTGATTGTTTCAATGATAAAGATCATTAGTCAATTGAAGCTAGAACACCATTGAAAACCTGGAAGCACTGGACAGCCGTTCCGTCCTATTATGGGACTCCTCAGCATTGCACATCCACGACCTCGCCCCCTGCGAGATTCGAACCCAGGACCTGCTGGTTTCGCGCGTGAGCACTTAGCCACTAGACCACTGAGCCGGCATCCAACGGTGTTAATAGTAAATCGTCAATTTGCAAAATATTAATCCATCATCTCGAATTTGATTATTCCTTTTACAAATATCAATCAATTGTGTCAGATTTCATTGTTCATACATTTTCAT